ATTTCTTCGAGGAGGTTTAGGATTAGTATTAAAATATTATTATTGATAAAATTCATTTAATACATTCGCATAGACTACATGTCATTTTATATTGTCCTCTCTCCCTCTATATGCGATCAGATCTGTCTTGACGCGAGTTAACCATAATTTACACTTTTCAATAAAAATACACAATGTTGAAGAAAGTTTTCGCTTCAGGATATAACTTAAGTAATGCGTTTTATGCTAACCGTACCGCAAACTATCCCACACATAGACGCACACATATGTGCACCGTACGTGTGAGTTACGCAGCCTTCTTTCAAATGCTGATTTATTGAAGCGGAAAAGAGTACACTTCGCTTTCCGAATAAAAGGGTGCTAGTTTCTGCTCGTTCATCTCGGCGTTGAAGGTAATGTGTGCCTTTTTGAGTACTTTTATAACAACTAGCTTTGGCCGCGACTTCGTACGCCTGGAATAGTTATTTTGGGCATCATAATTTACTTCTGCATACGAGGTTGTTTGTTGTCGAGGTTCAGCTTTTAAATTTATCCACGACGTCGTTCGCGTCCCGTAATTCTTGCGAGTTAACCAAAAACTAGATATATACTGTAGCAAACATTTTTTATATCACATAAAGAGCATTCATTCTTTCTTAAATATTATTTTTGGTTTCTTGGACCGTTTCTGGAACGCACGCAACGGAAGCCCTCATAGATTTTTTTTATTTTTACCACATATCCTCTGTGACTTCGCTTCTATTTCTCGCAGCCTCACTCATGTTATAGTCTAAAGCCTATTTCGATAAATGGTTTATTCAACACAGAAATAATGTTATAACTCAACCAATAAAACCTATGATTAGTTCAAACAAACAAACTGTTCAGCTTCATATTATTAGTATAAATCTTTTTCTAACACTATTTTTATCAAATTTAACAACCTTTCCCAGGGTTTTATTTAAAGTATTCAAGTATTATTAATTTTAAGTACGAACTAAATACTTTGCGCATATATGCAATGTCATATTCTATACTGACAGTAGTTTACGCGAATAGTACACATTTAAATAAAACACTTTAATGGCTTCAAACGCGATATATATTAGTTCAAATTATTTAAACTACGGGCCCACATTTTGTTCGTTCACTTTGCAGCAGCCGTGGTCACGGGGAATCGAGGCTGCTGTCAATTATAAAAACTTAAAGAATTTTATTTTTTAATCATAGAGGACATACTATCTAAAAATATAGAAGGTGAAATATCTCAACAAAATGGCATCCGAACGAAATACTCTGTCGACTTATTTTAGATTTAAACCATGCGAATGTTTGGTTAGTTTTTATTCGATTCGATTTCAGAGTCCGTATAGTCGGTCGTACTGGAAGTCTATGGGGGAGGCCTATGTCCAGCAGTGGACACTGAACGGCTGAATCGAATCGAATAGTCTTGCGACAGTGTAAAGGTAGACAGCATATCTTGTGTCTCGGCGAATTATAGCTGGGGTGTTTATGGACCCTAAATTACTAAATTTTCTTTTAAAATCGGGCAAATGATTAAATACTTTGCTTAACATGTTTTAAATATAAACATGTGATAAATATGACGTTTACACTTCTGCCATAGGAGGCCACATGGGTCTATCTCGAGAGAGTAACGACCTCAAGGTTAGAACACGGTTAGATGGTACAAGATGCAACCAAATGAAACTTATTTAATTCAAAAATTCAACTCTAATATAGGATACAATTTTGTACAAAAACTGTAGTTCATTTAACTGTTTAATATATTTTAACTACGGCCCCCCGTGACCATGATTATTACAAAGCATTTGAAACTGCAATGTGTACTAAAAATAAATAGTAAAAATTTCGTCCAATCTGTTAATTTATTTATCAAAATGTAAGGAAACTAATTACTATCCAATGAGTGGTAGGTACATGTTTCATCTTAATATCTGCGAATCGATATTTGCAGCGTTTTAGTTAAACATTTATTATCTACAACTTTTTTGAACAGAAAAGATAAAATTGAATATTGGACTATTTAGCATAGAAAAGCAACGCAATAAAAGCATTCGGCTTTTATCAAGTAACGTTATGTATGTATATACTAAATGCAACTCACTTTGAATGTAATATGCGGACCATACGAGGATTTAGAATCTATGCAGATGGGCTCAGCAGGCGACGCATACTAAATTAACTCAACATAATACCTTTAGAAAACCTATAAGAAAATATATAATATAAATATTGAACTTCTTTAGTGCGTGGCAAATTTGTACTTTTCAGTTAGTTTATTTCGAGAAATCGTTATAATGACGTTTGAGGAAGTAACTATTTATAGGCGGAATTAAAACCCTCGACATCAACGCGTTTACTGTCTATTATAATTATCAATACCTAGAAGTTCATTTAAATAAAACACTTTAACGGTTTAAATAAGATATATTTTAGTTAAACTCGTTTGAAAATGGTTATTTATAGGAAAACTTTTATTAAATCCACGCCACATTCTGGAAGTAGAAGAAATTCCGTATCTCTTACACTCTTATAGTCTCTTGGATTCCTGATTCCGAAACCGGAGCCTTCCGGATATGAGGTGTTATTCATACTTCTAGGATATATGTCTTCCCTTGTCATTATATAGTGTATGTTTTAAAATAGATAAAGTATTTATTTCAAAATTGATTTCTATCCATATTTCATTAAATTCATTTGACTTGCTTTTTAAAATAGAAAACATTTAACTGTTTGTAACGTGAAATATATTTTCAACGACCCAAATGACAAACGACAAACATCGGATAGTCTGTTAGATGTTCTTATTTTTGTATTGTGATTTCTGAAATGGCATCTAAAAAGGCGTATGATCCAGTAATCCAGAAGGAGCCTTCATCAAATACCACCAAGACGCGATTGAGTTGTAAAACGTGGACAATAAAGATATAATTGTCTTATTAATTCGCAATAAACGATCGATGCGCCATCGCGCTGCACAGCCTCCGGATCGGCGACGCGTAATTTAAAAAAGGTAATGATGCCCCATTCCGCGACACAGCTCAGAAATTAAACCCGCTGCATTGGGCCAGTTAAATTATTTTTTCCCCATCTCTGTGTGCCAAAAAGGAGAAAAAACACAACTACACACGAATCCATCGTGCCCCACTCACACAGGCGACGCGGACGCAAAAAGAATGCATTCGCACGCACACCGCAAAAAACGCGATTCACACTCGAAAGAAAATTCGGTGTTCCTATAATCAAAAATTACGCGTCCGTGTGCGTCGTTCCCACGCATGCATAATGTCGACACGCTAGTTCGACCGACCGTTGCGTAAATACAAAACAGACTTTATTCCATCGTCACAAGGTTGAAAGTAGCCCGCCGCAAATTAATGATTGGTTTGCATTAACGCTTATGTGTGCGGCAATGCGATTCGTTCGTTTTGTTCCTTTTTTAAATTTCACCATTTAGTTCAATCTATTTATTGGTTGTGCGCCTGTGTGCGTTGCGGTCACGTGTGTACTTATCTCGTTGTGTGAGTGCGAAAGTGCGTAGAAAAATTGGTCGATATAATTACATAATACTGTTATTAACTATGCTTATAACGTGGCTTTGTCTTTCCTTCAAAGTACTTCTAAAGTACACATCACTAAGTATTAAGCTTGCTATAGACCCTTAAAAATGCAGTCTATGTGTCTAAGTAATTTAATAATCGCAATTTTAATTTTAATTCTATTGAGAAAAATACTCCTCATTAAACAATTAACCCCCATTTACCCTATAATAATTATTATTTACTTTTCACTGAAACATATATATTAGAATTACCCATAGTCAAAATTTTGTAATGTATCTTGGAAATACAAGCAAGAGCCAAGGATAGAAGCTAACCTTGAATAATTCATAGATCTAACGGTATAGGCCGCTCACACATCGCTATTTAGACCGTAAACAATCTAAGAACAGTTAGCACTTTACAATTTTATTGTTCTTTCTGTTAATTGTTTAATCGTGTTATTTGAATTGTACTAAAGTTTAGCGGATTATTAAAATTAATGTGGTTTTGTTCGTACTGTTGGCAAATAAGTGATATTTTAGTAGCATTTTGAATGGGTTGATGGTCAAATATTTGTTCAATGCCCAGGTCCACCACGTTTCTAAGTCATGATATATTTCCTTCCAAACAAGTTAGTCCTCATCTACTATACTACAAAATCTGGATATGAATTAAGCCACCGTCGACAGACGCAAGAGCCGTATACAGTAATATTTACCAGTAGAATGTCCGAAGTCAAAATAGGTTGACAATAAGGTGCGCTTATTTGAATGTTACATAATTATGTAGATGGAGACACGTTCCAAACCTGTGTCATAATAGCAAATTTCTGTCTAATTAATTTCTACGTTTACTGCTGAGTATAAATAACGAAATACCAGCTCACCACACATTTAATGATCAAATTTGGTAACGATGTCTAACTAGTCCCAAAATATTATGAATTGTTTTTTAGAAAAATTTGGAACCTGGTGGAAATCGAACCCGACTGTAGATAGCTATCTATATATCATATACGAGTATATTATAAGGTACATGTATGTTTATTACAGTAACTTAAATGGAATATTTAGTTTAGGCTAAATTTAAGTAATTTTAAAATATTACTACCAACAAGGGCCTCCAGTTCTTTCATAAAACACAACAGCAGATCAAAGCATTAAATGGTACAGAAATAAATACCTAGTTGTTACGCCTTAGGACACCAACAAGGTTTCAACAAACATTACAATTATTGTTGTAAGTTGAAGTCCCAATAGTGGGAAAGGTACGTCGCACTATTTAAAAGGATGAGGCCATTGAAAACTAAATGCAGCCTCAACGACTTCTGAGAAAGCTGGGTGGAAAGCAAACATAAAGTTGAGCGAATTGAGAAGTATCGTATCATAGTACAAGAAACTGGTATTATTTGGAAGGTACATGCATTATGCATATTCTGTGTGTGTGTGTGTGTGTATGCATGTGTGCGTGCCCGGTGAAATGCAACTTGTTCTAAGGAGTAGAGACGCGGCAGGGCTCGGGAACGTTTGGTGTTCTCTAGCAACTTTCATTAATATTTTATTATTTTCTCATCAACTGTTAGTATAGACAGAGAGATCTTTATAACGAAATTAGTACTAACATGTGATCTGGTTCATTTATATTTAAATTAAAGATTTTTAGCGGTTTAAAATGCGAAATGTATTAGTTAACTAATTTATAATTATATATCTATAAATTATAATTTATTTATACTACGGCCTGACTTTTTTAATGATTTGGTCAGCAACAGAACAGCAATCGGGGTCACGGGGGGGACTGAAGGTGTAGTGTGTAATCAATGACAGAAAAAAACAACTGCTACGCTAACGCTATCTGGTCCATTGTAGTAAATATTTGGAGGAATTGGCAGGGTCTTTGCATAACTGACTAACAACGAACTATATTGTTTAACTAGTACATTTCGCATTTATAACCGTTAATTGTTTTTTGTAATGTGTTCAACTCGCGTAAACTAGAGACAGACAGGACGAAACGAATTATTGTTTAAAAACATTATTTTAATAAGTTAAAGGAGTGTTAATTCGTTATAGTAGCTATTATAACGAATAAAACAAGAGACAGGCGAACATATAGCATATATACAATAGCAAAAAGTTGAAACCTTAAAGATAATACATAGTGTAAGTTAAGATTAAAGTAGTTTGGTATTGCCATATTGTAAATTTTACTACAACAATAAATAGCATTTCATTTATGACATCGATTGATATTTGAATTATAAATCAATTTTAAATTGAAAAAAAAAATACGACACGGGCAGAAGTTGAACAGGCATCCACAGCGTGCCGTGCTGTTGCTCTAACCAATTGAGCTACCCAGACCTAAATGATGTTTAGTTAAAGCAGCCTATGTACTTTTGAGAACTTATTATATTTTGCACATGATGGCACTATATAAAATAAAAATTAATTATAAATAAAAAAAATACCGATTGAGACATCATGGGGATGCCCATTCAAGTCCTGCTCGTGTCGTATTTTGTTTTCAATTTAATATTGATTTTTAATACATATAGCGTATGTACTGTTTCTACTTGTCGTTGATTTGCACCAAAAGGTTACCAATCCCTGGCATAGAGTAATGTTACTCTGTAACAGGTCCGTCGCCATTTTGAAAAAAGTTTTTAGTGCTTTCGAATTTCGGCAACCTAGGCCGATGACCTCTCCGGCCGCGTTCGTGGAAAGAGCCGTCGTCCCGCGGACTAGGGCTTCTAATCCCGTGCACGCCACCAAGGGCACGACAGCTGGCGCGCTCTACTTACCCCTTTCTAAGAACTTACCGCCCTACTATAGTCAACCGGAAGCATTAATTACAATTAGGATTTGTAGTTCCAGCCATTAGGGGAATTAGGTAGTACTAGAAGCGTGAGGGTTACGTCTCTTGGTATTGTAAATAACGAGGCCTTTTTTCACGGGATTCAAACCTGTAGTAGGTTGATTGGTGAGTTGCGGTAAATGTACTAAGGCGGCTTTATCATCATGTATATTTTAACTTTCTAAATGTAGAATTAAAAAATATAAATTGACTTGTGAACTATATATTATAGTATTGAATTCATTTTACTCTGTTGTTTCATAAAAGCAGAAATTTCTTAATTTGTAATACGTAAGCATGAAGATTTTCAAGAGTTTCAAGCCATGTATGTGTCTTGCTTAACTCCGATCTATTAGCAATGTTAATATTATATACCTATGTATCTGTAGTGTGTACGCGTGTACACTTTAAAAAAAGACCTTTTTTCGGTTTCCAACGCGATAAAAGTGTTAAAAGTAGACTTGCAACGAATATTCGGTTACTATTCGGTATTCGGCCTATTCGGCTGCTTTTATTATATTCGGCCGAATAACGAATACTTAAATAATATATTTTGTCATAGAGAAATAATTGGTAAAATGAAAAATTAAAATCGATTGCTTACGTATATATTCATATTTTTATTTCTGTTATAATCATATAAGTAGTCATTGGTACATAATACTATAATAGTAGTAATTGGTACATAATAATAACGAGTACGTTAGAACAAAACAAAGAAGCGCGAAACAATCACGTCTGTACAAGTTTTTGGAGCAAAAATCCAGCCGAATACTTTTGCCTAATATTCGACTATTCGGTCAGAGGTCTCGCCGAATATTCGGTATTCGGTATACTGCCGAATATACTATTCGTTGCAAGTCTAGTTAAAAGTGTTTAAAAAACTTTAACACTTTTCACAAAATATCGATTTTTAAAAGTGTTAAGTTAACTTACTTTGACTATAGCCTGACATCGGATAAGTCGTGGCCAAGTGGGATTAAACTAAGTCTAGTTTACTAATGTTTAAATTTAATATTTTTGTGTTGTCAATGTTGCCTTACGACGGAGATTAACTATTTCTTTTTATTCAAACATATGTTCATGCAACTGATAAGATATAAGTACATATTATTACGTTTAATAGTTAGTAACATAAAGCAGCAAATATTTAAACATTTTATTTAGCTCAACCCGTACGGAATTTATTTATTTGGGTCAAAATTAGAAATTGAAATTTTACCACCTTCCCGTTTGTCAGATTGATCTGAAATTTGGTACACGCATTTAATTTAGATGACAATGCAATATAATGGAATCAAAAATATTATAAATCCAAGATGGCCGCAGATACATAATGGCGGATTACATATTTTTCCTTTACCCCCTCAATATGGGTATCAAATGAAAGGAGCTACACTAGTAAAACACGATGATTATGTCAAAATTTTAACTTTTTGTAGTTTTCGGTGCACAAGAAATAAAATTGTTCAACTTAAAAGCTTTTTTAAGTTGATACTTGTTGATACATAGGATTTGCTCACATAATATCTAAACGATGCGCTATCCACCTGTTTCTGGCTTTTTGCCTTTTGTAGGTCCGGACTTACAACCTAATTGCAGATTTACATTTTTCGAATATTTTCTCTAGTCGATCAGAATGTCTGTATTCTTACACCGCATTTAAAAACCAGATTTTATAGAAGAACCAACCACAATTGTATAAGTCTTCGCTTGGGCGTCGACTGTGCAGCGTCTCCTACTGATGTCACTCGTAATTGCGAAACATCTCGAAAACAAAAAAAGCTTTAAAGCACTTTAACGGTTTAAAACGCGAAATGTTATTAAACTGTTTACACGTTATTTTAACTACGGCCCGTCGTTTCAGAGACTAAAGACTATAGAGACACAGTCCATCTTTAGTGTCCCTGTGACAACGGGTTATATTTATAGTTTTAAACAGTTAGAAATTTTTATTTAAATGTGTACTACACGCAGTATTTAAAGCTTTCAAGTCCAAAATTTAAAAAAATACATTCATATATCCGTTGATTATATGATTGATTATTGGACCAACGTATACACTTGTGTTTATATCTGACACAGTTGAACTGATTGTATCAATAAGATATTTTCTTTTCCGACGTCGGTCAAAAAGGCACCTTTTCCTACACATAATATAGGGTTAATCGAATTAGCGACCTTTCGCCCGTATTTGTCGGGTCGCGGTCACCTCACCCCACGCACAGCCTTTCTCCTATACAATGTGGAAAATCTAATTGTATTAGTTATTTATAACGTTATTTTTATCGCTAGCTGGCCACTGGCTTTGTAATTGTCCCAAAAGTTGTTAAATGCAACACTTCCACATCCAAAGGCAAAAAAGGTCGACAGCGCATTTTGTGTAGACGTTATACGGCTGGGGTATGTCACTTACCATTAATAACAATATATTTGTTAACTTATTTGCAATTTGTTAAAGGTAGGCCGCAACTTTGTAGCATCTGCGGTTACTGCTGCAAAACATCAAAGGTAAGTCAACTATATTTCGCGTTTAAGCCCGTTGCTTAATTTAAATGGTAAATCCAGGTGAAAAATTGTGCCAAAATATTACTTCTAAGACCTTCACTTGTAAGCTTGTGACCAATTCTCAAAGATGAATAGTCTGCCCCGTTTTTAACACATTTTTCTCGGTTTATTTGCTTCTAATGTTTGCTTGATGTTTACCCTAAAAAAATGATCTATTAAACACAAAATATTTTTTCAATTCCAACCACTAGTTCCTGAGCTTAGCGCGAACTTACGGAACTAACAAACTCTTCAGGTTTATAATATTAGTATAGATGTTAATAATGTTGGTGCACGTATATCAATATCCCGAACTAACACATCTTTATATATTAAATTATACTTTCTGAAGTCCTATAAATGTAAACATAGATAATACTAAATTATGATAATCGCAGTTTCTCCTGCGCCCGTGTCGGGAAAACTGTAAAAAACCTTATTGGCATTTGTAACGATGCCTCAGGGCGACATAGCTCCTAACATATCGGTGCGTGTGTTGTAGGGCGCAAGGCATAAGAAGTCGCGGTTTTACCGCTCTAGGTTTTAAGCACATCTGTCAAATAATAGATTGAGGTTAGGTACGATTAGTATACTATATAGGACATAAGAAATGTTATGTGTGTAAAAAAACCTCCTTAGATTTTCTTAGTTTTTATTGTTTTACAGCAGTATTTTTATATATTGCATATTTTATAATCTAAAGTTTCTTAATCTTTAAGTACATTTTAAATAACATATTGGACTTTTCAACGTTTTAAATAGTTATTTCTTTATGGCGTTCTCGTTAGTATTATGATAGCAATTTGCTCATAAACAACGGATCTTCATTTGGATGTCTACTGGATTCATCATGTTTTAATAAATTTATAATCTTTCTGAAACATGTAGGAGTTAGTTTGGAAAATTTTCCACATACTCTTTAATAATCCTCGTATCTTTATAGGTCATACCATAGCTTCATTTTTACTTTCAAGAGTCCTTTCTTAATTTTCCTAGTAGTGAAAGGTTTGTGTCTTAGACCACACTCAACCCACTGTACCCCTATCTAAAATCGTTTTAGAAATAAAACGCAGAGCCCCGCTAGGAATTAGAGGGATTTTAGGGAACTAATAAATCGGGAAATAATTACGGTCCCGGCTGCCCTATATTCATATCCGAAAATTTTATCCGAAATAATACAATTACGATTGCTACATACTTTTCTTGCCTAAAGGTTGATTTAAATTACGATAAATATTAACTATTATTATATTGTATTAGTAATTACACATTTGCAGTGTCAAAACGTATAGAACCATTTCTCAATTACGATGACCAATAATTTAAAAATCCTAAGGAGCATCTCTATAGCATGCCTTGCCCTTAAGAACGTCAATGTTTAAGAATTTTAATTCCGGGAAATAACCTTCAATTATTTTATGTGATCATATGAACAGATTTGTATATAAGATCGCAAATTAAAACACTTTTATCGGTTTATAACGCGAAACGCATTAGTTAATTTATTTATTAACAACGGCTAGACGACACAACAAGTACTGTAAAATACTAAAACTCTTTTAAACCCCTCTTTTTCAGAAAGATAACATAATAGCAATCTTATTACAATCTTATAGCATAATATAATTTTTTTTCATCACGTATAACTGTAAATCGTCGACCAAACCCAGTAGTATATCACGTAACAACGTAATAATGGCAAATGCGCCATCACTAAAGTAGCGAAAATTTTCCAAAACAAAAAGGGTTTTAATGATTTGTATTTCGCAAACCGTTTTAATGCGTGCCTTCGGACATATTTAAAACGCAAACTTTTCCCCCTCGCCCCCTTTCGCCCCTGGACCCACATTTCGGTAGTTAGCAGGAGAAAACGGGAAAAATACACCCCCGTCGAGTGGGGTAAAAAATGCGTAGTTTTAGCTAATCTGCATGAGGGGTTTAAAGTGGGTCGGGCGGTTTTAGGCTTTTTAACAAAAATGAGGGGGTGAGGTGGAATCGGATGTATTATGCGAGGAATCTATTTATGTGCGAGGTGGCCATGGCTCCGGTAATGAGACGGGACATGTGGAACTGCTTGTTTTTTAATTTGCATACAAATATTCGTCGATTATGGTAGCAACTTGAAAATATATTATTTCTATTCAGGAGTTATATATTGTTACTTTTAAGAGTTGTATACAGAAATAAAACCAGCATTATCAATTATATTAAAATAGCCCCTGATAGTATTTACATTTTTTTTTGTATTTGTTGCTTGTGTTGTGTGTAATTGCTTTTATAAAAAATCTTCTTAATACTCTTGCGAAAAAAATCATATCAATAAGCTTCTCTACAAGCGACTCTGTGTCAAGTCCAGTTCTAAAAGAGAGATTTTAAATATAATCTTAAAATCTGACTCCGTTATTCCAATACAAATTTTGACACAACTGTTATCTTCCAAATATTTAAGGATTTTTGTATAAAAACTCACGTGGATAAATAATAATTTTTAAAAAATGTTCTGTTATCAGTCTTTAAATGCCTACAATATTATTTTAAGATCACGGCGCCATTTTCCTTTTACAACGTGTAACTCGCTTTACTTACACCTAGAAATTGTACTAAACAAATCGACAGCATGGTCACCTTGCCCCCGTTAATATCGGTTGCTATAGCGACGGGCCGATTACTGCATCTCGATTTTTCGCCGCTTTTTCCGTTGTAATCAAATGAGGTGCGACGTGTGAGGGGTCCAGGCCCCCCCAGACCCCCCGGGGGTCGGGTGACACGCGTGTACTCAATTATCCGCAGTGAATCAATAGCTGAGATGAGGGTAGTTGGAACGTCACGCCTTTTTATGTATAATTTGCTATAAACTTAATTGTATTGGGAATATCAATGCTTTTCAACCTATCGCTCTACGTTAGGCTGGTAAACACTGCGAAATTTTAATCTCATATATTTAAACTATCAGTTTAATTATAGAAATATGTATAATTAATTATGAAATGCCTTCTTCATGATAGATATAAACTATATTTACTTTCTAATACCAACGTCATGGTTAACGTATAATTTTAACTCAAATGCCCACAGACTGTATAAAACAATTTTGAGACTTTCAAATAGAACAAATATGATAATCATATATCTTTTTTATAACCGAAGTTTGTTCTCACCAAAGACACTTTTTTTTTAAACAGTTAATTTTATAGTGCAGTTAATGAAAGAACAACAATTACAGATAATTTTAAATAATATTATCTTTATTCATCGGCAAGGTGAGTTATTATAATAATTTAAGATATCTCGTTGCTCACATGTCTAAAAATATTTATTGCCAGAAAACGCCATCTCTTAGAATTTTCTCGAACTGATAATTATTTTTCTTTTCATGTCAAACTGTAGCCTGTCGGAAACCCCTCTAAAGATGTCGGCAGTGTCCTTAAACTTGGGTGCTTTTAAGGGTTTAGGTGAGAAGTTATGTTTAAATCTTGCTAAAAAAAAGGTATACTAGCGCCCTCTATTATATTATAGTTGAAGCTAGTGCGGTTGACGTCGTATCTTTTAAAACGGGTAAATTAGTCATTAAATTGGATTGGGAAAGCTCCACCTAAAACATATATTTTTTTAAGCGTTAACAGTATATCTATATTTTGTTGAAAATCGTAGTTTTAATATTATTACGCATAATAATATTAAAACTACGATTTCAACTTCGCTTTTATAAATGTAATATGCTATGCCATTTATAATTTATGCATTTTTACCATTTGCGTATTTGAAAATTACCACTTATAAACTACATAGACTATAAATGCTACATCATTCGTAGACCGCTACGGCGTAGGCCTTTCTAATAGAGCGATCTATGCTACGCGTTGCTACATTACGTAGACTTCTGTAGCAATTATATCTAGTAAATATTACTCGTTACTTGTGAGTGCGAAATAACGAAGAGGACGCTTTTAATAGATTTTTATAGAATTATTTATACAGACAACTGCAGTAATCTCGAGCACTTAAGTCGAAATAAGTACTGCCAGTGAAGCAGCACGAGAGATAGTTTGGCTGCGAAAACTTTTCAATTAGATAACGACACTGAAAGATATCCCAATTCTTTCTTTACTTTACTTTTCTATCCATTCTATCTACGCTACAATTTGACCGACACGGCGTACATATTGTTAATGAAACACAAATCGCAAATAACCATTTATTTATAAAATAAGTCACAAACAAATATGCAAATTAAAAATATCGAATTAAATATACTTAACTATAACTTTTATAATGATCTCTATAGCGAAGTGACACATAAACACATTTCTGAAGACTTATAAGAATTATAGAGAAACAGACTTAAAAAAATAATTTAATATATTTTGAGAAAACATCTCGAAATCCTTACTAACAATACGAAATACAAAGTATAACTAAACGTAGTTTAAAAGTATTCATAAAATATGTATTATAAAATGTTGTCTTTGTCAAAATCCTCAGAAGTATTATAAAATCTTTAGTAATTATTATCGATAATATATAAGGAAAGTTTTATCAAAGACGATAATGTTGATTTCCTAAAAAAATATTTGTTTTAATACCACTTCGCTGTAGAACGTATATTTACAATGAAAATCATCAATCTTATGAGTCATAAAGTTCAAATTTGCTTGGCACATGATTCGATCAAATAGGACGGCACTATAAATAAAAGATCTTTGAAAATATTTCTTTGAACAATAGAAGCTTTTCACAATTTCATAATAAATTTATTCTGTATTCAGTAAAATTGAGATCAATATATACAATTTTATAAGCTCTATAAGAAAAAATACAGCTCTCAAAAAACGAAAAAGAATCTTTCATCTATCTTCACTGGACTACCCAATCTAAGTTGCCGTTAAATATTTCATTTAAATGTACAACACAAATAAACTCACTATTTCTAACTATCACTTTGGTATACATGAATATTAAAAACGATGTTTTTATTCTACATAAATAAAAATAACATATGATTGATCATATATCTTATATTGATAGAATTTTTACCCAACGCATTCTGTTAGTTTAACTGTCATAAGGTCTTGACATTATCTAGTTTTGTTTTATTCCGAGCAGTATGCTCGTATTAAATTTTGAATGAAAGGGTTTGGATTTGGATTCTGAGGAAACACATAAGCATTGTCTGTAGTTTAAGCGAGTAGTACAGATAAAAAAAACACGTTTTACGGTTTAAAACGTTCACATATTTTATTTTAAATTAACAATGCTGCGCAGTAACTGTGGTCAGGGGAGCACTGTTCTTAAGAGTCGGGCTAACTAATATATTTCGCGTTACAAAGGGTTGAAAGGGTATCTGATCGACAACTCAGAATTGAAATCTTATGAATGAAAGGACTCTGAAATGCGTCCATACTCTACATTAGGGAAACGGTATTTATTTTCACTTACGTAAAAAATTACAAAGACAAAAAATATTAAGCTAGATAAATAGAGAATATGTAAATATCACAAAGCAGAAATACAAAACACAACCGGCTCTATGGCACGTTTAATAGTAAAAGTGCACTATATAAATTACAAATCGATTATAACTTAAAAAAGAATACGATACGGGCAGGATTTGAAACGCATCCACAGTATTTCAGTAGGACACAGTGCCTCTATTGGTTATCATTGGTTTAAATGTCAGAGTTTTATGTCAAAGTTCTTATTTTACCAATTAATAAAAGATGATAAAATCAGCACTACCCTATACTATACAATTATTAAATTTTTATTTACATTCAAACTTAATACACAGATATCTCTTTGGTCTAATTAACTAATAGGCAAAAGTATGCAATGATAGAATATATAAAAATCTCTTAATACTTCAATTTTAAGGCCGTTTCGCCATTGTTACCTTCCAATAATCTAGGTCCAACTCTTCCTGAAGGTGATACGCACTCGTAAAGGAAAAACGTCAAAAACTATTCGTCGTAGCCTAGCGGTCTACAAAACCTTCGCAAAATGCCCGCGAGAGCCTTTTTTATGTTTGTCTTAGACACATTACTTAGCGTTTGATTTTGAATTACGATTATTAACTAAATTAAAAGACAAACATTATTTTGACAAAGACTAAGAGAATTAAAATAAAGCTTAGAAATACTGTACCCATCTACAATCTAATGAGGAAAAATTTACAACACTCTAAAGCGCTTATATGTACGTCACCGTAAAATTGTAAGCACCGTGAGATTGTAAACTGGAGAAATTTGACAAAATTACTTCTAAATTGTTAGCACTGTTATTTAAGAAAAAAATAAATTTGTTATTTGGTGCTGTAGTTAAGTTATCTTGTAATGTAGAAAAAAAAACGTATTCAGTGCATTTTGTTGCGAGATATGATGTTATAAAATTCCTTACAATATGTAGGGCAATTTTACTTCTTTTCAAATTAGCATTGAGCACAATGCTCATTTTTTCCTATCATGTGCTGTTAGTAAAAACTGGAAAAAATTATTAGACCTGTTTTAGCACTTTTTTTTGCAATGTAGCATGGTAAACGGTTGTGGCGCATTATGCTCAATATCAGTAATCGTATGCCGTTCGTAAAAACTCTTAATTGTGATGAGAACTATTTTTTCCGAACGAAATTATTTTTTATTTATAGCACTTTTTTTTAGCATTTTATTGTGTATCGTGCAACAACAGAGTAATTTGTAAAACTTCACGCGGTTCTCCATACAAAGACAGTGTATAAGTGCGCTAGATACTGAAGTACCAGTACTTACAATACGGTGAAATATTTGTAATAATAAATACCTAAATTGCCAAAACTCTTAGCTTCCCTAATCTACAGTGGATGCTTTTAAGTTAAAAAGAAATTATACTTTCGACTTTCCAACCTCTTAAACCAAAAATTACACTGAGAATCAGTTTTTTTTTTCAAAAAGATGAACTGAATTATTTCAAGAAACAGTTTTGGGACACAAATTTAATCTAATAACACATTAAAAATCCTTATCGTTACACCATATTGAGCTAAGCTGAGGAATTGAAATGCCTTATATAGAAGTATTTACATTATCGAAAAGACTAAGAAGAACTCGGATTATTACAAACTACAAGTTCTCTTATGCTTTATGTCAAAGGAATTTCCTATCTATGTTTGTCTCTCTCATGAAAGACTTGTTTGGAATTGTCATGAATGAACCTTCATCTAAAATTTTCTACCGAAAGTAGAAGGTAGGACGCTTAACTAGCTTTATTCGTTATTTTTATCACTTCTTATTGGCGTCCAGCCAAAAACCACATTGTGTTAGATCAGTGTTCAAAAATTAACTATTATCATCTGATTTCGTTTCAATTTCTTCGGTAATTGTGATCATGGGTGGGTTGTCATAGCAACCCTCACCTGGTGATATTTCATTGTTCAACCTCTCAAACTTTGGCGATCCCTGTATCGCTTCCTTGACAGTTTCATACATCTCCGTTCTTATGACTGGCAAGACTCCTTTTTCTGTCGCAATACAATCGCCTTTTATAGGTCCTTGCCCATTTGTGACTTTTGTACTATCATTTTTGTCAGCCATAGCTACTGCCACACCATTTTCTATTCTCTTTTCTCTCTTATCGTGAATCTTATGGAGACTTTTCTCTCTCGCTTGCACATCAGACAGCAAAGGCCCGTCTGAAGATCCTTCAATGCAGTACCCAGGTCCTTGCAAAACATCATTGCTTATAACGGAGTCTTGTTTAAAAATTGCTGCTGTTACTACGGGCTTGTCAGGGTCGGTTGGTGTTTTACCTATAAGTGGTTCTTGTGAATTATCGTGGATCAAACTCTCGGTGGTATCGTCTTTGGATACATCGTAACCGGGGTAAATAGGGTATCCAAAAGGTCCATGCTCATAACCGACTTGACTTCCATATGAATAGCTTACGTTATGTGATCCAATTGATGACATACTAAGATCAGAAATAGATAATCCAGTACTGGAAAGAGCTAATGCTTGTCTTTCGAATTTTTCGCTGCTTCGTTCACTGTCTTCTTCTATAATACGCTTGTCTAATTCGTCTGGTACTCGATGGATTAAGGCTTGGTTAGTGGATATTTGAGGGTCGGGGGTGTGGCAATTCGGTAGAGCTTTATTTGGCCGATATGAGTTCGACTGCTGAACTTCGACGACGAAGATTCCATCGTTGTCTGGAGAGTACTTCATTTTCGTTGCTCGCCCGTTCTTGGTGATGTCCTGAAAAACAATATACGTTCCGATATAATTATTAACTATATGCTAATGTGCTTAAAATGTTTAAATTATGAATTTCTATTGCTTTACAACAAGGAGGACAGACAAGTATAAGATATTCGCATTAAAAGAAGGTGAAATACTCCAATTATACTTCACGGCTGTTTTATCTGTAGCCCCGGTATATAACCACACAAATTGCACACAAAGTCTAACATGTTTTAGAAAGGGAAAATTCGGACCGTGGGAATCGAGTCCTTTTATACTAATAAAAGTTTTATGCCAATATTATTTTAAAATACATTGTGACAAATACTTACATTTCTAAAACACTTTAACGGTTTAAAACGCGATATATCAGTTAAACTCATTTGGAAATTCATTTCATTTCCAAATAAGTTTAACTAATGAAATCGCGTTTTAAGCCAAGTGTTTTATTTAAATGTGTACTACTCGCGTAAACTATAGACAGTACTTACATTTCTTTCTTCAGTCTCCACTATAAGATGATTATTTTTGAGGGTCATGGTGAAGACTGACCCGTTACCCGAAGGAGATTCTCCACCAGTGTCACCATCTTCCGGGGATTTTGTCTGAAAAAACAAATCACTTATACTAATAGTAGTACATAACTAAGTATTTAATGTAATCACTGCAATTTTAGAGTTACATTGCATTTAATCTGATGAAACAAAGATCACCGCGTGGGACAAAACACAATTCATGGAATTGATGATTTTAATATGCACACAGTCTTGTTACATCTAGATGACATCGGTGCACACAGCTGCAATGGAAGGTCAGCATGACTAAGATAAGGCCACAAAGGAAACCCGATTCGCGTCGGTTCGGCTCTAATGATTCGTATTGACGAATCATTCACCTCCGCCCACGCGAATTTAACTTCCAGAACTAAATATATAACACTAGCTGTGCCAGCGACTTCGTCCTCTGAGATTAGTTATTTTGGGCATCAATTTTTTTTTTAAATGCAAACCACCTTATCTTTTTTAATTATATCTGTTACCCACGACGTCGTCCGCGTCCCGTAATTCTTGCAAATCATAAACTATCGCGGACATTTTTAAAAATAATTATTCTTTCATTCGTATTTATTTATTTATTTACTTTTTGCTTCAGAACTATAAAACATTACAAAAATGCGGAATTATTTTAAACCGTTTTCGCAGCGTCCGCAACGGAAGCCTTCATAGATGAAAAATTTTCCCCGTATTTTTCATTTTATCGTTCCTTTTTGACTTAAAGCATTTTTTATAGCCTAAAGTCTTCTAAACAAACAAATAAGTGCCCTAACCAACAAAAAAAGAACTTATCAATTTGAACGAGTAGTTCCTGAGATTAGCGCATTTAAACAAACATTCAAACTCTTCAGCTATTTAAAATTAGTTTAGATATACATAAATACCCTGTTCAATTAAATATCAAAGCCTTTCATAAACTATACATCCACCTTAATATATATTTCGCTATTGAGAGATAGAATACTTGAAGCCTAAAATCCTTATCTTATAAAAATCACATAATTGCATAAAATAATCTTTATGGTTCGTAAGACGATGGACTATGATGATATTCGAACCTCGGCTGTTTAATAAAACACTTCTAACGGTTTAAAACTCAAAATATGTCAACTTATTTATATTACGGACGGAGATAATGAAGGTAATAGCAGCCACTAAGGATCCTTCTCTTTGTAACAATAACCAATTCCGTTTTCAGACAGTAAACAGTTACCTAATTTAAGCCTGTATATTTAGATCTTAAGTATAGTTAATAAGAAATCATTTGTCATTGGTCTGTGTACAACAATTTATTAAATTCTTTACACCTTTTAATTGCACCGACTAGACAACCTTTAATGGCTACTACCGCCAATTAGTTGTACCGTGTATTAATACGTCTACTACTTAATACAATCTAACCATAAAATGTTTAAATAAAAAAATATATAGACTAAACATTGAAATTAAACATATATTATTTAAATAAATACTGTCTATAGTTTACGCGAGTAGTACAGATTTAAATAAAGCACTTTAACGGTTTAAAACGCGATATATTAGTTAAACTTATCTCTCTCCCCGTGACCACGGCTGCTGCAAAGCATCCGAAACGTCGTGCCGAAGTTAAAAATCATTTCCAAATAAGTTTAACTAAAATATCGCGTTTTAAACCGTTAAAGTGTTGTATTTAAATTCTAATTTAACAAGAATATTATTATTTATTTCGCGATTTAATCAGTTAAAAGTGTGTTATTTTAATACCTCTTCAAATGTTATATGTTTGTTCTTAGAATGATCTTAAACTCTTAACTCCATTCATTGCAATAATGATTAACACCTAGTGCCAATCTAAGCCCCGGGGTCAATGACCGGTCGTCGGCCGCAGATTCGGGCGGGTTTTATTTTTTCCCGCCCGCTTGCATCGTGCACTTTTTAGATGCACCTACTTCGTACAGACTATCTAACGACTGGACAAAGAGTCCACGGAGACTCCATTAGTATGCGTTTCGTTTGGTAACTACTATTATATAATGCATATCTTCGTGTATCAGCGATGAGCTGAGTCAATGATAGTAATGTACGACAAATAATAAATTAATAATCGTGAGTCGATGTTTTAGCAAAAATGAAACAAAAAGATACATTACACAAATAGGTAACATTTAGGTAGGAACAACATTGAAAAATCAAGTTTAGATTTAGATAGAGTTGGATTCTCACAAGTCCATCTTCTTACTGAAATCATTTTACAATTTTTCTTAAGCGGATTTGACTTTGTTCAGAAAACCTGGATATTAAGCGGCTGGTATATCTAAAGTCAAGACAGTGGTGAACTTCATTTATATATTAAAAGGCTGAGGTATCCACATTCCATTAAGTTAACCCTACGCTTATCTGTCATTTTAAAAAATCCTACTCCTCACCATCCCTGTTCCGCACGCATTCGTCGCGCAGTGCGTTGCACTATACGAGCCAGTTTGACTAGATTTTTGGCAGTCGGCCTGCGCAGGAGTCGCCCCCCTCCACCCGGCCCACCCCCCTCGACGCCAAATTCTTTTATGAGGTTTTGATGACTTAAAGCTCTTTTTGTAACCACAGCTGCAATATGAATAGGGTGTTAGCCGATATTTATTTTCGTGCAAGTATTTTTGGGTATTGCGTTATTTTTTACATGTGTGCGTGAAACGAAGTTCGCGTTGCCGTTTCATGATTTTAATCACGTTTGTAACATATATTGTGAGCCTATTATTTATATCTTTTTCTAAAAGCACTAACATTTTTAAGTCTGTAGTTTACACGAGAAGTACACATTTAAACAAGACATTACTACTGCACAGCATCCGAAGTTAGTTAATTAAAATAATTTGTAAATAAATTTAACTAATATATTTCAAGTATTAAACCGATAAAGTATTTCACTACTTTAATTCAGGGCACTTTTAAATTAATGACCGACAATATAATTTTTGTTATTACAAATAATGACGAAAAATAAACATGTAATTGTAAAAATATTGTATTCCGTAAAACACAATTAACATAAGTATTGTGTGTATCAGCGATGATCGAAGATCGTATGCAATATCTATAAGATATTTGAGACGAATTTAAAATAGCACCGCCAAGAAGCGAATAAAACCTTCCGATAGGCTTTACTCGCTCTTGCGGCGCATTTTCCATAATTGTCAAAACCAAGTGGATATGCAAATTTTTCTTAAAATATTTTTCAACAACCTAAGAACCTCCGATCTCATAAAATTTTTCATGACGATAATGTGTATCACGTTTAGTGTAAAAACCTTTTCAGAAATGAAAGCTTCAGTAAGCTCCTTTTGTTGTGTTTGCCATGCCCAAGCCGGTTTATGAAATGTAAAAATAATCTCTTGAAATGATTTATGGCCTGTACACGGGTCACTTCCACGAGTTATTCTTTTGTGAAAGTTATCAATGACATATGTCTGTAACCACCTTTTTTCACTGTCTCTACAATAAAACAAAACCTTTTCGGTGCCAGAGCATAATATAATCAAATAAATCACTTTTAACAATTTAAAGCGCGAAGCGAAAATGGTCTCCCCGTGACCACGGCTGCTGCAAAGCAACCGATACTTTGGGTCGTAGTAAAAATAATTAGTAAAGTTTAATTTATACATTTCGCGTTTTTAACCGTTTAATTTAATTTTAATTGAAGGTGAAATAGTCTGGCCCTGCAACATCTCAACAAGATGCCTCTGTCGACCTCTTTTGGATTTCGATATTAGAAAAGCCACAGACTGAAATATGATTAAACATTTTTTTTAATCAGACGAGAGAGAGAAACATTATAAATTGATTAGAACCATGTTAGACCCTGTGCATATCTCTTCTACCGGTCATGAACCACCGCCCGCACTCGAGAACGGCGTGAACTATAAATCTGTCTTACGGTTTCTTCTACCTCATTTAGATGTTATGTGGCTGGAGTAATTCATTCTAGAAGTATGGGTTTTACTCGGTTGAAAACCAAGTATGCTTCTATATCTTATAATGAAAGTTTTTTGTAATCGATTTACTTACTATTCTATAATAATAGTTTAGAGTCTGTCATTGTCATCTCATTCTTGTGTAGTGAAAACATCATTAAAATCTGTCATATGCCTCTAAGACCCAAGTCCCAATAATGGGAACTATCGAGTGCTGATGATAAGTGATAAGTGCTGACAATTTTACATTTACACCCTGAATATCGAATAAGTTGGCATCGCAACTATGAAGGCTGGTGTACTGGACCTAACATAAAAAAAAAACCTTCAAACCAAGACATAACTTTACGATTGTATTCGAATCAGAGTAATTCAAAATTTAAAGTCGATGTATTGCACAGTATCCATTTGATTAAGATATATTTGTCGGGAATAACTGGAAACTTGTTTAGCGAGGCAGCCCTCGGGCGCTCGGTACCGACAGCATATTAATTAGGACGCGACTTTTTAAACCTCTTAACTGCAAGAAGTTTTTAAAATTCAACTTCATTAGCTTGTTCATTTATTTTAATTTTAAACATGGCGTTGCGTTGTTAAGAATTAGTAATACTATTAAGAACTAATATACATATATACTATATTATGTATAATAATGTTAGTAGGTACAACTAAATTTATTATGTATATATATCTACGAAGTGAAATTGACATGGACTAAGAAAATTACAATTCAATTCCAGTTTTAACATTATTTACGTCAAGCTTTACACGGTTATAAACGACTTAACTATAGCGCAAGAAAAAGGTTCAGTTATTTTAATTTAACATATACAAACATACACATACAAATGTCATAGTATTTTGGTAATATTTTCTTTCTCTCTTTACGAGAAAAATATTTTTAATCTGTGATCTTTAAAAATGACGCTTGTTTTATGAACTTTGAAGTAACTTATATGTGCCTGTAATAAAAAATATTTAAGTAAAATCGTAAAAGTTTATGCTGACTTTAAATAGTATATTATTTCATAAGTTAAAGTTCAAATAAATAAAGTTGAATCAGACATCATGTTTTACAGCAAATATAAGATTTTTTTATTGTGGAGAACAGACAAGCATTTGACGGTAGATGAAATACCACAGCCACTTAACATCTAAATACAAAAAAAACCCCCATTGGCCGGCGCGGGGGGGGGTTCCCCGCAATAAAATGGTACAAAAAAAAAAATTTTTTTTGTTTTTTGGGGCCCCGGGGGGGGGCGTCCCCACGCCCGTTGAATACTAACCATTGCTACTATTACATCAACAAGTGCGTCAAAGTTGTTAGAGCGTAAATGTGTTATTAATGGTATTGTGTATTCATTCACGGATGAATAATTTTGTGGAAAACTGAGATGTTACTGTTCAATTGAGAACTAAATGCCGGAACACATAATTAACGACGTCGAATTGACTTAATATAAGAAATTGCCAAAAATCAGCGAATACAATATACTAGAAATGTAAGGATATTTTAAAAACTGTTTCTTGATTTCTTTATGTTGTAAGAAACAAAAACTTATTGCAGTAGTCGCGCATAAATGGAGTCTCGTCATTTTAAATTTGATATGTTGTTTTATACATTTTTCATTAAGAAAATAACCCGGATTTAAATAAAACACTTTTAAGTAGCCGCGGTGACGTGCAGACTGGCCGTGGTGGTGATTTTAAACGTCGGGCCGTATTTAAGATAAATTATAAATAAGTTAACATACATTTCGGGTTCTAAACCGTTAAAAGTGCTTTATTTAAATGTGTACTACTCACAACACTAGAATACCTAAGGCTCGGATTAACAAAACTTAAATATACCAAAAGTTTCATATAGCAAAATCGTATTCCGTAAAGATCGTTTACACCTTGTAAAATATGAAAATGATTTTGCTATCCGTACAAGCATTCCGAGGCCCTTGGATTATCGCGATGCGAAGCAGCACCCGGAAGACTTACTTTCTTTTCTTTTGCTTTTATTTCGGTTTTATATTATTATTGTCGATATAGTTGAACTATTGCTCAAATAAAACATATTTAAAAATATGCCTTAATGCTACTTATTTAAAAAATACAAACATTTTAAGGATTTTTTTTATTAAATCAGAAGTATATTAATCGATATTCACAACAAATCTTTACAGACAAGAAGACAAATGAAACGTATTCGACTAGAAACTTTAATAGTTCAATACATTTTTTAGTAGAAATAATTCCATTTAAATCAATTAAAACCCCATATTTAAACTTATCGTTAAGCTTTTTTAAATGACTATGGTATGTATGCAAGCTTTAAAACGGCCTAGCGACATGTAGCCCCACCCTAATGGCATTGCGCAAGTCGAGCTGAATAATGCTCAGAATTGTTTGGTAATGACAAGCAATCAGAGTGAATTATGCCAAATCACTGGAAAGTTCGCGTTAGCGGTGAAAGCCGATGTTTTTTTTTAATTAAGGACACGCAATTAGAACTAAATTATTGAAGTACAGGTGGATGTACCTTTCTTAAATAAACAAGCAAAACAAAATGGTGGATGCTGCAAAATTGAATTTTTTTAGATAGTAACATAGAAAACTAAAAAAATATAGTAATTCTGAAAATTATTTTTAACTTCGCCCCGACGCTGCAAAGCATTCGATATATATTGCGTTTTAAACCGTTAAAGTATTTTATTTAAATGTATACTACTCGCGTAAACTACAGACAGTATTACTAAATTTTTTTAACAGTTTGTTCGTCTCAATCTCTGAAACAGATGGTCCGTTTTAGAACAGTTTCGACATTCGAAAGCAGCGAATATTACATGTAGGCTTAATGCTATTTAGATTAAACGGGACATATATAAAACACAGCCAAGGGGAAAAGTTTTCTATATAGAGACGGGCTCCTAGGCAAGAATGGGTTCGATGCCAACCAGGTCCAATATATTATTTCTAATTTATTTATGAACATTCAAAAACATGATTAAAACTATCTAAATTCCGTCTGGATGACGTTTAATTGCGTGTCGGTTTCAATCTATGGATTTCCGAATATCCAAAAGCAAAGCAGCAAAGCATCCGTAACATCGGGCCGTAGTTAAATAAAATTAAAAACTATAAGTTAACTTCTAATATATTTCCCTTTTTAAACCGTTAAAAATGTTAATTGTAAATAAATAATTAAGTGTAGTTTAAAAAATATATGTAAATTGAAACTAAGGCACATCGTAAATTCGCACTTAACGTTAACTTAATGTAGTTTATTCAACACTTTGGCCAATACATTTTGGTTAGGCCGAGAGAAAGCGACGCGCCCGTTTCGCAGAAGCGGAGTTAAGATAGATTTACACTTGTTAACTGTTAGGGTTCCTTAGTGCGAATATATACAGTGGATGAGCGCCTTATGTCGGTAGAGATATCTGGTATATACGATTTGATTATTCTTAGTATAGTCGTAATTATTAAGGTAGAAATTGATTGAGAAGTACACGTACCAATAATTCAAGAAAATCGATGATAACGAGGAAGCTTAATTGGTTAGAGCAGCACGAACGGATGCCGGTTCAAGACCCGCTTTTGTCATTTCGGTCTAAATTTCACATACGATTCATATAAGACCCAATGTTGGTACCTTGAAAAGCCACTTTCGACCGGATAGATAGTCTTATAAACTATATATATATCTATAAATTTCAAATCTCGTTTCTTTAGGAATGTATGTGTTTATCCCTCCCGACTGAAGCTATTAATATGGTTTGTTTTTCTATGAAAACAATAGTATGCATAAATAAAACTATGTGTGTATATAAACACTGTATATAGTTTACGTAAATAGTACACATTTAAATAAAATAAACTAACCGCCCAACGTTTCGGATACTTTTCAGCGGCCGCTGAATACCAACTGCGATGGAATCGCAACGCAACTAATATAATTCGCGTTTTAAACCGTTTAAGTGTTTTATTTAAATGTATGTATATACTCAGAGACAATTACTTGCTAGTTTCACTGAGAACATTGTGAGATAAGTAAAAAATGCTTTAAGGTATTATATAACAAAAAAAGTATTTTTTTACAAATGTATCGTTTATTTTTCTCTAAGTTTTTAAAACGTTTTTATGTTAAATTTAAATTTTTCCTACGAACAGGAAAATTTACATCCATATGTGTACTGTCCATAAAGTGGGGTGCCGAATCCAGAAGTT